ATCTAATGTTGCCCAAGAGGAGATGAAGTTGGGAAAAAAGACCTCCGATATAATATCCCACTTTGATCAAAGCGCGGTCTCGCTGTTTATATGTAGATTGGACAATTTACCTGTGCGCCTTCTTCCCTCGGCATGCACAGACATTCGCCCCCCTCGCGCCTCGCCCCCCGTCGGAGAGCCACGGCCCGAGAGACCCACAGTGGGTGAATAATGTCATTAAGACTTGTGGTATTTAGCATTCATAGATTCTTCCTATATAGACTATGAGGAATGTCATCAATTACACCGAGTCTCCTTCGCTCCGCCGCAAATGTCCTCCAATGGGGCATTCTTTGATCATCTGTCACGATGCCTACATGAATTAAGGTGATGCTGAACTAATCCGTCTGAGCTTTTGGCTGAGATAAGGACAGGCTTACCTTCAGGGTTGGTCAGAATGTGTGAAAGTTTCACGCTCAAGAGCAAAAATTGCGCCATTTGGCTGTAACTGAAAAGTGTGCTTATGTTTTTTTCTTCCCTTAACATACATTTCTCGTGAAATGGTGAAGCGGAATTGCTGTTTGTCTCATGGGTTATTTTCGGGACAAATGGTCAGTCATTCGGCCACCCTTATCGATAAGGAACACACGCAAGGAGACGAAATGCCCCTTGAACTCGTACATCGAGTTCAAGCAGCAATATTTCAGTTTATCCTCGCAAAAGCACTGTCCATCCCCAATATTAGTGTGAGAGACCGAAAATTTGGGGGCGGACAGAGTGGGTGGTGGATTGAGAAAAATCGCCTCCATATCGAAAATGAAGAAATTCCCAAGATTTATTTATGTGTATCTCGGGTGCTCCTTTTTGCTCGCCACCTTCTCGGAATCAAGGAGGGAGGTTTGTGTGTATCTCTGGGTGGAAATCCACCATCGGAAAATCTTCCCTGGCAATGTCCTGGGCGATGCCAGGGATGCGGAGAGAGAACTCACCACCTCCGAGAGTATTAGCAAATGTATTTTGGGGGAATCAGCCACACTCAGCAATAAATATAGAGCCCCAGTGGTGACCTTATCCCCTGGCTCAAGCATTCACCGAAAAGCGGAGGTATCTCCACTGCCATGTTTTACCGCCATCAAAACGACAAACTTGGCATCGAATGTCACTTAGGGATTCCCAATACGATGCTGCCGGGCCGTTAATATTTAAGACGACCATCAGGAGGAGAGAGAGAGAGAGACCTCAGGGGAGGCCGAGATGATCAAAAACCACCCCTTTTCCCCGGGCAAGTGCACTCAAATCGCCAAGGAATTCGCTCACCGCCCGTCCGCCCTATAAAAGCCACCCCACTTTGGGAACACACATGGAATTCAAAAGATACCACGAGAGGAGCTGAGAAAAATGTACGTTTCACGTCACTTTAGGGAGTCAATCAAGTGCAGCAAAATACTACACGAAAGCTCAGTGAATATTTTATTGAATTTTATTGCCACTCACGCTGACACTTATGTTGACAATTATCGATAGATGAAATCTTTATGTTGTCTGCCAATTCTCTTCACCCTCTTGCTGGGTGCGTACAGGGATTAGATATAGAGTACTTAGTGCGCTTTCTTACCTCATTCTCGCAGAGTCAATTGGCTAAAAAGGGATACACCATGGATAATATATCAGCAAGAACTTTAAGCTTTCCATGCAGAGTTGAACTTTCTTTCGTTCCACCATTCTGTGAAATTTTATCTCCATACTTGTATGCTTTTTTCCTCAATAACTCTTAAAGAGCTCCGCAACGCGCGGAGACTCGGTCAAGGGAGTTTCTGGTAGTTGCCGAGGAACTTTCCCTCCCCGTCGCCTCGCACTATTTCGTGGCAAGTTGGCGGGTTGGGAGCGAGAGAGAGAGAGAGCGCAGAAGATAAGACGAGACTAGACAGTTCAATCAACTAAAGTGCTTACCCGTGGGGCGTCGCGACGTAGAAATTATTGTGAGAAACTTAGACGCTTCCAACACAAATGTAGAATTATTCGAGAGCTTCTTCAGCCCCACAACCACCCTTCGTCCCCCTGCCCATCCTCCCTTGGGCTCTGTTTTGCTGCGGCGCTGGTGCTTTTTTCCCGCCAGCTCTGAGGGAGTTTTCAGAAGTTTGCAGTTTAATTGCACGCAGCCCTCAATTGCGCGCACCTCAGCCATGGCCAAAATGTGACCCTTCTGCGGGGAGGGGGTGTGGGTGGAAAATTGTGTAATATATTGCGCCCATGGGGTCATCTGTCCCTCATCAAATTGGTGTGCGGTGAGGCGACGACCGACAAAACTCCATGGGATATCATGCTGGGATAGAAACGGCTTAAGAGTTAAGGATTATGTGCTCAAACACACACGTCCAGATCCAGCAAAACATCCTCTCTCGCTCTCCAGTGTTTTCCCATCAGACTCCCAACCGAGTGAAGCCACATCGAGGGTTAAACTTAATGAGAAGTGGGCTTTGGGGAGCCGCCAAAAGCTGTCGCAATATTTGCGAGTGTTTGCATATCCCAATATAAACACCAACTTTTGCCCAAACACTTTCCCAGCTCTCCTGCTTTTTTTTCCTCCCCCTCCCCACTCAGGATTTGCAGTCCAGGAACTCTTGCCCAGAGCGAATGACACTCAAAGGGCTATCTCACTGTGAAATGGATATAATATAAACAATATCCCTCAGCGTCATGAGAAAACAATTGAATCAATTGCAAAGATTGCAAAGCGGAAAGTGCAGAAGATTGTAGAACATCTCTTGAACAGTGATAAAAGATCACTGGGGAGAGAGACGCGATGTAAATGGTGTTGTTCCACAGCGGGAAGTTGCACAGAAGATTGTGCCATTACAGTGCAAGAGAGCTGCGAGATCTTCAGGAAAGCCTTTATCTCTATTGCGCCATTGAATCTTCAATCACTGACTTTTTCATGCTCAGAGGCGCTTTTTTTCTCTCTCTCTCTCTCTCCGCCGCGAGACATTGCATGAGAATTGAATTTGTTACCATGACAAAGAACACATTAACACTTTAATGATTAATTAAATTTCATTCTGACGTGTTCTCGTGGTCTGACAGAGCGCACAAGAGTTGGTGAAAAATGTCTTGAATCTCCGCAATAAGCTTTTCTTTGACGGTGAAAAATTTCAATGTCGTTTGTAGAAGCAATAAAGTTTAAGTAGTGCGTTTCCTGTCACATCAAACTTAGCCAATCTGCATATTAACACCCAAACGATGACCATAAAATTCAACCCCAAAGGGTTGGAAAAACCATTCGGACACCCCCTTTTGGTCATGCCAAACTCTTCTATGGCATTTTGTAGAAACTCTTCGCAATAGCAGCACCATTAAGATGACCATTGGAGAGCTGTTAAGAAAATGTAAATTTCCGGGATTGCCACTGGGAATATCTCCGGAGTTGATGGAGAAAATATCACCATCAAGCTCGGTAAATGACACTCTTCGTGCGATATTGGTGGTGAGATAAGTTGAGGAATAATCGTGTTTAGAAATGCTTGACTGGAAATGAAAATGATCCCATTTACCACTGCCATAATCGTGGCTGGAACAAATTCGTCGACATATTTAAGAGAGGTCATTCGGAGTGCAATTTATTTGGCATTTTGCACACAGAGAGATTCTTATCACTATAGTCGAAACGGAGACAGAGACATTTCTTCAACTTGCAATCTTGTCGTCATCTGGACGACTATTGGCTCTTCATGGATCTTTTCATCCTTTGTAAAGTGCCTCAACTCCCCCACCCTTTGCCGTCTCTCCTATTCAAACTCCCTCTTTGCGGATTTGCAAAGCCATTCTGCGCCCAGTGAATTGAAGAATGTTAATGATGAGAGTGCAACTCAGCGGAGGGTAAAAGTCACTCTCGTGGCGTGTGAGGCTCTCTTACAATTTGAAGAAAATATCCTCCAAATGCGCGCGGACGGCGAGGAAAATAGCTCAACAATCGATTTGTTGGTAAGTTGATGAACACGAGCAGAGAGAGAGTCTCTCAGTGGTGCGTCTAAGAGCCGAAGTGCATTGCAATCGGTCTGAAATCTTTTCATTGTTTCGCCAAGACATTGATGGATTGCGGTTTGAGAGCAACGAATACCATTCACTGCGAACTATAAAATAAAATCCCTTCCCCTCCTGCCCATCCGCCCAAGCCATCCGGGATTCAGAGATGTCTCCTCGTGCAGTTTGAAAGAGTAAATTCGACCCTCCCATGGGAAATCCTGGGTTTGGATGCGAAATCCCGTGCTCTTCCTCGTGGAATTCTTCGCTGGTAATGCTCCCGAAAATTGCTGTGTCTGTACAACTTGCTCAAGTCCAGCCCAAGAGCCGTGCAAGGAGAGGAGTCTTGAGACGTCAATCGTGAGTAATTCATCAAGCGAGATGATGGTATATTCGAAATAATGGGTCTTGTGTGTGTGGTTTCTGCGCCAGCGACGATATTAGCGAATAGCCCAGACAGTTAAATGACGCTGAGGTTAAACTCGTTTGCCGCCCACCCACTAAATTGAGATGGACTCTTGAGAAAATCTTGACATTCACTTCCTGGCCAGTGTGTGGGGATTTTTTTTCAGCTTCTCCATCGACGTTTTTCCCCATTCATTTTGCCGCCCCAAAATATCGCTGAATCAGGCGGATTTTTCGGGTCTCCAGCGGCACAATGTCCGATCCAGAAGATAAATTCAATGTTCGACATGTGATTTACGTTTGAAGCTCACATTCGCGTTATTAAAGGATTATCCCCCCGTGGTGTCTCCCAAACTGGGGTTTGGAGTACATTTGCGCCGAGGAAAAGGAAGAGAGACACTCTGTGCGGTGGTGCTTTGAGGAAAATTTAGATTTATGACCTCAATTACATTTGACCAACTCTCCCGAATGCTGTGAATTTAATGGATATGGCATTACGATAATGCGCTCAGGACCATCCCTTCAGTCACGGACTGAGAGAGACCCTCTTCGCCGGGGGATGATGGACTCGTGTCTCTATGAAATCATCGTGGACTCACCGTTAAATGTTGAAACAGCCACGCTCGGAGGATATTTGTCGCTACTTTGGGGAAAATCCCCCGCTTCTTTTGGTTCTTTTTGCCATTGGCATCATCATCTTCTTCTCCCGTTCCTTCACCACTACCTATACTAGCATTGCTTGCGTCACCTGAAACAACAGAGAAAATCGGTTAGGCACTAAATCAACACCGCACGAAGATTATTTGGCTAATTTATATTGGAAGTCGCAGCATTTGAATGTTTTCAAAGCACAGAAAAACACAGGAATTCATGAGGGAGAAATTTGTCAATTTTCCGACAATATCCCAAAAATTCCAACCCTCTGGCGTTGAGTCTCAGGAGATCAATTCCTAAACTGATCACGCGGGGCATCATTTTGACGCGCGCATTTTCACCCTTTTCGCCGCCATATTCGCAATGCTATTAAAATCCATTCACAGCACACGAATCTGGGCAGAAGTGCACTCACTATCTTGCCATGGCCAGGAAAATTCCAGCAGGACTTCTTGCTGAATTTCCGGACACAGCCGAGGGTGGGCGATTAAGATTAAAATTAAAATTTAAATTAAACGCAATGCCTGCGTAATCGCTTAACTGTATTATTTCGACACCCTCGGCTATTGTTAATGGATCTTAATGCCGGGCATGGGTGGTTGTTTGCTGAGTGTGAGCCCAGGGTGAAATTTTTGGTGGAAATCGGCCGAGAATCGCCATCAGGGGTTGCCTTTTTGCGCCAGAGGAAAATGGATAGGGCAGCCGCTGGGGTTTGAGACAGACATTGAGCTTCATTTATAAATATATGGGGTGGTTAATGACTCACAAACATTTACACAGACTCACAGCCCTCCCAGTGCACCGAGGGTTGAATTGCTGATGCTTATATTAAATCCTACACTGTTAACTGCCGAGCGATGCTGCGAGATTGTCGGCTGGAGGAGTTTTCTCCTTGGGCAAAAGTGCTGATTCTGCGGGAAGTTTGCAGTGTCTCCGGCAGGCATTTTCCGAGGAGGGGGAGGAGGCATTAAATGCTGAATATATGTGTAATAAATAAAGCAAAGTAGTAATCCATCAAGGCAGAGGCACCAAACAGCATTTTACTTAATAAAACTGTAAACAGTTTTGAGATTCTCGTCTCCGGCAGGCTCGCAAACAGGGACACTGGTGGCAGGAGGCGCATGAATAAATAATCCTGGGCGAATACCAATGAGGACATGCAAATGGGTGATAGTGAAAATATTCTTCGGCGGGGGTTGGAAGTCAAGGCGTATTTGTGCTTAATTTGAATTTCAGCGCAAATATAGCAAATGCTATCAAATGAATTCAGGACAGATTACGAATATATCCACAATATTTTCCACCGGAAAAAAAATTGCTACATGTTTCATTGATGTTTCTCATGTGGGACGCCACCTGGTTGTTGACTTACTGAACTTCTTTCGTATGAAATTTTTATCACGTCTCGGTGGGAATTTCTTTTTCAATTTGAAAAATTACATATTTACACCCCACTGTGTATTTATACACGGCAACCCAGAGCTGAATTCCATTAATACAAATGCTCAACTGTGTGATTTGTTTATTTAGGAGCTTCCACCAGACGTTTTAGGTGGAAATATCTCCTCGCCATTGGATATTCCACGCGGCGGCGGGCGTGCGGCCGGCGAGGGGAGGTGGTGGATGTCGATTTTGTGGGCATATTTGGCGTGTGGTCCCCTCGGAAAATTGCACACTTCCCAGGGAGGTTTTCTCGGGGAGAGAAAACACGAGTCTCACATCATTTCACATTCACGTCCGATCGCTCAGATACACAATTACAGTGCGAGACAGTGGAGCAGAAGTGAACAACGAATTTCCACTATCACTTTGGCAATCAAATCGCGCTGTGAGCGCCATTGCGGGGCGGCGGAGCAATTGGGAGGGTGGCCGATGATGATGTCAAATGACGAGAGATGCTCCTGGGCTGCAGAAGTGAGGCGGATGTTGGAACATAATCCCCGTAATCGTATCTGTAAATATTTCAACTGATGGCAATTGTAGATACAGGATAACAAAAATCCCGGAGCTGTCTAATGATTAATGACTGCACGGATATGGCGCTCAGTGTGAGTCAGATTCCTCGTGTTTTCCTCCGCACAAATTCCTCTGGGTTCTTAATGAAATCAGCGCGAGCGAGAAAGAGAATCCGGGAGGCAAAAAAAGACACCCAGAGAGAGACAGAGAAGATCTGCAGAAGGGTTTTCTCCTCCCGAAAAAAAGAAAAAATCTATTTCTGTCGCGCACGCAAATGCCCACATTTCATCCTCTCACACCCCAACACAATATTTCACAAATCTCCACCAACCACTATATCTTAATAATTCTTTTGATCTCCTTTTTATGTGATTTTTATTTTCCTGAGAAAATCCAAACTCGAGACGACAAGAAAATTCGACACACAGAGAGAAGTGCGTAGAAGAAAAAAAGGATGATGGGCCAAAGTTCTCAGAAGTGTGTGTGTGAGAGAAGGCAGAAGCTGCTGATGACACAAAAAAACATAATGTAAAGGAAGCTCATGAACAACCAATAAATCACATCTGCCAATATTATTTCGGTAAATATCATCCAAAACTCTGCTAAAGAGACATAAAAATCCACAATAGAAACAACACGGAATAGTGCTAAATTCACTAAACGTGACGATAACAATTTTACGATTGTCCACTAAAGTGCAGCAACAAGGTGAGGCTGAAATACACTACGTGACAATAGATCTCTCCTTAAGTATATCTGCATAGCTTTAGACGATTGTCTCCTCTTTGCTCATGAGTGATTGCCTAAAAACCCCATGGAAATTTCCCGGACTGAGATCGGCGACAGTTTCTCTTGCACTTTCTTGGAATGCTCGTGATCCCCAGTGAGAGAGGCAAAAAAAAACAGTCCATCCTGTGCTGCATTTCATCGGCTTGGGGAGCTTTTAACTCTCCACCGAAGCACTGTGGCTGAAGCGGCGTATGCAGAAAGGTTACGCTTATGGGACTTTCAACGCGGGTGCCACGTGATATATTGCTTTAATGGGCAACGCTTAATTGCTGGACATTATTCTTTTTCGCTGAAAACGGTTTTAAGCTCACTGCGAAATGCGAAACCAGATAAAATTGGTCGAACGTGTACGGGAATTTGCATTTCAAGTATATACACGCTCTCGGTTGGGGATGCGCCTCTCGTGCAAAGGGGGTGGCAATAAAAGTATTCTATCTCACTCACACCGCATCCCCCCCTCCACGGGGGGCCGCCTGTCCCTCCCGGATTGCCGATGGGTCTGAGAGGAGACGCTCGATTTGACTGAGATGTTACGATCGCGTCGATTTCGCGTGACACTTGGCAATAAATCACGAGGATTAACTTCGTCCACATACACAATTCACCCGTCGACTTTCGCCGCCCCCTCAGGGGGCTTTTTTCGACCTCTCCCCCCCAACAGGAGCACCTTTGCCGGCAAAACAACCGAAAAAGTCTGCAGTTGTTTGGCCCGCGACGTGCAAACAACCCTAATCCCTCTCTCCGTCCCTGGAAACTCATCCATGTGCGCCATCGAAAGTGGTAGTCACGGAAGGTCTGATTGCGGGGGTGTGGAAAAAAGGGGGAGAATTTGCAGCTGAAAATTTTGCCTGGACAGTTCCTGTTCGGGCTGTCGAATTTACTGTCAAGAATGTATATCAATTTGCCTACAACAACCCCACACTTCCGCAGACGCGCGCGCGTTTCATTCACAGATAGAAATAAAAAAAAACAACCCTTAAAGTGCCCAAAGAAGTTTGTGCGAATCGATTTTGCATGAGTTATCGATACTTCTGCCTCACCTTCGACAACTTCCTTTTGCAATTTCCCCGAGATACTGGCGAAGGAATTGATTGATTGACGGATATGACAGATGTCTGAGCAAAAGTTGTGCGTGAATATTTTGGCACACCAGGAAAAAACCCTCAACTTGTTGTAGGTGGAATTCTTGACTGTGTTATTTTTGTCACGGCAAATGCTAAAAGTGTTCTTTTCTGATTATTTTAAGGGGAACCTCAATGACCTATTTTTATCATCGGAATTCGCTCTAAATACACCGTGTGGAAATTTATCGTGTGTTTTGATGGAATTTTATGGGTATTTTTCTGTCACGGAAAAAATATTTTACTCGCGGTGAGACAAAATTTGACTGTCTTTTTCAGGCCACCCCGAAAAAAAATCCACACGTTAAGTACATAGAGAGAAATTTCTTAGCGGTTTTTTTGCGCTCGTCTCGAAGAAATTAGCATGACATGAATTGTATTTACAAGAATGTTCTTGTGCTGATTCACCCAGCAATTAGCCCAGAGAAGTGCAACTCAAGTGTAATTCATTCATGGTCAGAGCCAATATTTTATGTTAATTCCCCATCGCGAGACGCTCATGAGCGTCGAAGAGCCAATCTTTTGCGATTGTTCCCACAGTGCAAGTGAAGAAATTAGCCTGAAGCTGGACAAATAGTGGCTCAAAAGTGCAGAGAATTGATGGTGAGATGAAAACTCATTGAGAAACATTTAATTTGAATAGACCAATATTTGTTCTCTGGATGTGGTTTTGTATTGACTTGCGGCTGAAGTTTCTCAACGACTCTCGGCATTTTTTGCTGACATCGCGCGCTCTCGAGGGCTAAGAATATTTTAACTTAACTAAATTGATTGTTTTCTCAAAGGAAACTACACTGTCAATGAATTCCGAACACCCACAAATTCCCTGAACTTGTATTTCCATCATAAATCGATACATTTAGCGTGTGTGTCTTGGGGGAACATCTTAGTGAACTATCCATGTTGATTGAATGATTGCTTCACTTCTTCAAAAGCCCAGAGTGTTCTTTTGAACTACGATCCCATTTCTTCCGTCACAACTCTTGGCGGGCCTTTCTCGAGCCTCCAAAGCACTCGCGAGAGGCGTTCTGGGTGTCTTCTTCCGTGGCAGAAAGACAAGTTATAACACCAAACAGGAAACACTTGGGGAAATTTCAATAAATCAATCGAAAATTGCAGAAAAATTGTGTTCGATCCGTGGAAAACACGCGCCGCCACCCACACTTTTTTCCCACCCACCCAAACTTTCACTCTGGCACAACTTGCGCGCCACCCCTCGCCAACCCGG